CATATAAAAGCATATAAAAGATACAATATCTATGGTTCTATATAAGCGGGAAGACTAAACTATCAGTAAAAAGTGTTTTCTAAAAAGAAATAATATTCTTTTCTCTCTTTCAAAAAGAAAAAGCACTTACATCACATTTCAACAGTATTTGCCTTTTCTTTTTTTTGAAGACCAAAGTGCCATGAGAACGAGTAAGGTTATATAGAAACTCACAAGTTGAAACTTTTTAACAATGCCTTTTTCTTTATAGTATCAGAAGAGTTAATACATACCAGATACAGATCAAATTAGCAGAATCGTAGCCCAGAATCAGTTTATTATTGATCTGATCACCACTTCGCTTCTGAGAGTTCCTTCAGGCACTTATAAGGCTGGCGACAATATGTTTATCGATGGCACAGAGTGTGAAGCTCTTTATATACCTCATTCATCAGATCTTGTAGACTTACCTCCTGTAGTAGCAGAAGTACAACACACAGTGACACGCGAGTTTATGTGTCGAGCCATCCAGTACTGCCTGAATGTGTATAAGCGTTTCCACATTTATCAATTTTATTCCTCGTCTGTACCTCGAAAACAAAGCCCAAAACTCTGAAAGACCTCTTCAAATCTGTCCAAAACAAGTCTAACCTCTTAGAAACACCTTGCTGCCACTTCGCAACTAGTTGCTTTATGCTGACCAAACAGAGTATCCATCCTTTTATTGACAATCACGATACCAAGAAATTAGATCCTTTGGTTGTCTTTGTCCATTTCTTGAGTTCTGGCCAGCAAAACATAATCATTATTGACCGATGGGACGACCCAACTAATACAAAACTGTACTTTGTCACAATGGAAATGGTCAAAAATGACAGAAAAACAGAGAATGATAAAGTCGAAGCGTTACAAACGATTTGTCAAGCAACACAAAATCAATTTGAGAAAATAATGACGACCGTTTTCGACAACCCCAGCCGAGCGCATCAATACGCAGAAGCAGGACGGCACTATAACGCAAGTCTTGAAGTACGACGCAATGAAGCAAGAATTAAACAATACACCTCCAGAAGCAACAACACCAATGTAGCTTCCTAAAGACTTTGACGGCGCTTCTAGTTCTATAAATTCCAAATACAAAGATTTGACTGCATTCATCGATGCTTGGGAGCAGAATAACAAAGGTCGAATGAATTGGTCTGCCTGTTGGGAAGATGGAAAGAAAAAAGGTCTGTTCAATGAGTACTCAAACACCCATAGCTTGAAGAATATATACCACAGAGCAAAAAATGATACCTAATCACCATTAGCACCGTTTGTATGACAAATTAGTAATTAATGAAAAAACTATCAGTCAGGATTATCCCAATGTTTTATCGTAAAAAAAAATACAGTTTTCTCATATCCAAACTTTTTTTTTGTGTGTTAATAACGATGTTGACGATGTTGACGATGTTGCAATCTGCATTTACTTTATCCTCTAAAGCTATGAGCTAAAGATATTTCTCTTCATCTACATACTAGTTTGAGTGAATTCATCAACCGTTGACAAACGTAATGCAACAGGAATCTTGGAGTAAGAAATCATTTACAATTAAAAATAACTTTGTCTAATGAAAAAGGAAATTCTCTGAACTCAAAAGAAATACACCAGCTCTAGTTAGCTAATTCCAATAATTGTTTTTACCAAAGTAGACAAAAATAATGACATTTGTTTTCGAGAAAACGCCAAATTCCATACGTTTGACTATATCGTACACACAAAAATATTTGGGTCAGAAATTGAATACAAAATTGGCTTTCAGTCGAAAAAGTGGTCGAGGGGTAGTAAAGCCGTCGTTTGTCAGAGATACGTAAGACTTTTACTATAACAATACATAGCGAGAAATGCCTCCATAGTGCTATAAAGTACTGTAAAAGTATTAATTTTGCAATACGTATATAAAAAGTGTATGCTATCGTCCAAAAGCGAGAATACATTTTCCATCTTTTTCTCATCTTTTTCTCATCTTTTTCATGGCAGCTTTATTGCACTTTTTACACCATTAAATGCGCCATACTAAGCTATATAGCTTTACTCAATGCATCTCTTGATTATTTCTTATAAACTCTGACACTTTTAACCAAATTAATGACTTTTACTACCCAGGACAAGCAGAAACAGAGAAGAAAATGTTGGTGTTTGAAATATCCAGCCCTTCTCCTACAAGACATTTGATGCTTATCATGTCCAAAGATGCTCTCTTTGGACTCAAGAGCTTCCAAGGTTATGATAACTTCTACTTGTAAATACCTAAGCCATTGCTTAGAGGACATTTGTTACAAATGCCTGTCATTCTAGAGCCGAGATTTAGCAGTTTCTCTCTTTTGATCTTGCTTTTACATACAACCCTTCAATAGAACTGTTAGTACACAATTAAAAAGAGTTATACACAGACAGCCTCTAAGCCAAAAAAAAAAAAAAAAAAAAAAGAGGATCATTATTTCTTTTTGTGGCAAATACTTGCTTATGATCAATAAGTAACGTTGCAGCAATGATTGGCTACAGAATTTAGGGCTGCTGATTTAATGATAGTCAGTAAGCCTGTCTTTCGTAACATACAACAAGTGAAGGACAGAGAAAAAAGAAAAAGAAAAGACGCGTTATCAATTATTTTAAATACTAGTATATGTATTTTATTGAATAAAAAGATAAAAAAGAAACTGGTACTTTAGCCAAATACTGTAATTATTTGTTTTCAGAAACTAGGACGAGAACATTTGATTTCTATAAAGACAAAGCAAGTGCTTTCACAATTTGTCTTTTGTATTTTGAATGACTTTCGATGCTATTAACAACTTTGTTGCTCTGTGTAACGTTAGAGGGTCGATTTACTCACAGGTATGCAAAAACATACGCTTTTATATGCTTTTTGCAATGTATCATGGTGTATATATACATGTATCAAAGACACCCACTATTTTTTACTTGTATCGTTTATTTTGGTTTTTAGTGTCTGCTTTGTACTTGTTTGTGTCACCAAAATAAAACATATGTTTACATCATGTCATCTTTTCTTCATCACTAAACTGATAAGTAAAAATACCGTCTAGAACTAGTCCATGATTTATTCACTTAGAAAGAAAAAGAAGCAATCAGTATGAGTTTTATAGTGAGCAAAAAAAAAGCGATGAATTTTTCAGGGTCTATTTTCAGGGAAAAGTAAGCAACTGTCCCAGGGATTTAAAATGTGGTAATCGTATGCATAATGCACGGATCAACTGAGATATTTTTTGTGCTCAAGATAAAAAAAAAAAAAAAAAAAAAAAAGACAATAGTTAGTTCATCTTTAGGCACCAGTAATCAATACTTTCAGTTTGTGTGTAAAATAGCTTTCTTTCTTTTTCTTTCTTTCTTTTTTAAACAGCTAAACTCTTCTTTGCTCTTTTGGCTATTGACATTTTCATATGAATAAGAAAGTTTGTTATTGTTTCAGGATGATCTTCTCATGGAAAGAAAAAAAGGAAACTGGGAATGATTATAATTCAAAGTCCTCTATTATGAAATACATTCCACATTGATTTATATGATAAGTAAACTTCCCTTATCTTCAAGGGCAAAGAATAATGAATTACTCAATAGAAACACAGAGGATAAGCACATAGCAAAAGAGAAAGAAAATAAGCAAAAGGGAACGCTTTTCTGACAAGTAGGGTGTTCATCGCATGTTTTATGCAAGTAAATAAGTTTATGTAACACAAGATTGGGCGTCCTCTCTCTATCAAAAGAAAACAAAAAACCAAGGAAAGGAAGGTCAAGGAAAGGAAAAGAAAAAAAATTACTTATAAAAAAGCACGCAGCACTCTTTTTTATTTCTTTATCTTTTCTTTCTGTTTCTTTATTTTCTCTACTCTGGTCTCTTATGGTCTCTCTCTCTTTTTGGTTTGTACCTTATCTACTTCAAGAACGCGTCTACTGACATCTCTGCTTTCTCTGAAGTTTTCTCTTTACTTGTTTCGTTTTCTTTGCTTGGTTTTCTTTGCTTGGTTCTTTCTACTTGGTTTTAAGCAGCTACGTATTGAGGATATACTAGTTATCTGTAGTCTAACAATGGTATGGAGTAGGTGTGGTTGCGGTAGACACTACACTGGCGAAAGCTGGTGTAGATGTTTCTTGTTGTCTTTGTCTCTGCTTGGCTCTCTTTGCTTGGTTCTTTCTACTTGGTTTTAAGCAGCTACGTATTGAGGATATACTAGTTATCTGTAGTCTAACAATGGTATGGAGTAGGTGTGGTTGCGGTAGACACTACACTGGCGAAAGCTGGTGTAGATGTTTCTTGTTGTCTCTGTCTCTGGTTTGTTTTCTGGCAAGTACCTTATCTATTTCAAAAACGCGTTTGCTGATGTTTCTGCTTTCTCTAGGTTTTTCTCTCTATTTGTTTGGTTTTGTCTACTGGTGTCTCTCTCTCCATGGCTTTCAGTGTTCGATCCTAATTGTTGGCCTGTTATAGCCGATGATTTACTTTCCTATCTTACTGCCCCGAGAGTAAGATAGAGGGTATATAGGCGTTGATCTGCAGCGGGATGAAGGGTAGTCGTTGGGAGTTATTGACGGTTTCTTATAACTATCTGGCATTCCCTAGTGTATCGCAAGCCTGAAAAGGTATCAAGGAAGGAAGTGAAGGAGTACAAGTCAGTTGCCTTCACGCGGCTACTCCTGTGAGTAACTTCTCTATGAAGTGAAACTAAAGACTGACGCCATTTATTTTTTTTTTTGAAATAAATACATGTATAAAATAAAATAAAAAAAGTAAAGTCCTCCATACTTTCATACCATTGTCTTGTCTTATAATAGTAGTGTCTTTCGCATGCAAATGAATATTCTGCTTCAAAAGATTTGTGTAAGGCAATAGAGAATGAAGTTGTTTTTGACATGTTTGATTGAAATCATACAGATTAGTGCTGGCACGACAAAACTATCATGAGGAAATCAATTTGTACTCACTTAGCCTTGATAGAAAAGAAAAAGAAATAGTCTTCAAAGCAGAGAGTATCTAATACCAGACATTTATTATTGGTTATATCCAAAACTGTGTGTGTATTTTTTTTCTTGACTTGAAAGGTGTCAAATGCTATAGTCTGACTTACTTTTCAATGTTATGCACATCGTTTGATACTAGGATGAGTACTCGCTCACTAATCGATGTCAACTGAAAAGGGTCTCTTCTACATCCTTCACAATATACAGCAGACTTTGAATGCTGATTTGAAGACAATGCTTAAAAAAAAAGAAAGAGAACGTTTGCTCATGAAAGCGTCATAACTCATTAAATCTGGTACAGATGACTACATGTTGCCATCTGTTCACAGCTCTAATTTGATTGCTTGCTTTATCTATAGTCAAGATACATACACCTCAAAAGCTACAATCTTACGTCTAATTATGCTGTTATTGTCTTATTGCTAAAATGTCTCAAATTAAATAGAAAATCTTATGCATCAACCTGTCAATCACACTGAGTTGATTGAATATTGATTGGCTCATCTAAAGCAGATCCTTGTACAGCAGTAGCTAGTGATTTATCTGAACCAATTGTACTATCTAAGGTTCCTTTATGGAACAAGGATCTCTGCAGAGCATGCTGAACCCTTATACAAGCAATCATCTAAAGATATGACTCAATAAACCGAATTATTTGTTTGATTTTAATTTTCTCGCTCTTATTTGGACATTAGTAGAGTAGCAAGGAATATCATGGATGAATTAGAATGAATATGGATGAGTATGGGCTGACATAGATGAATACGTGTTATAATGAGTGGCCATGGATGACCATGGATGACTATGGATGACTATGGATGACTATGGATGGGCAGAATAATAGAAGAATTGTATATGTTTTGGCTTTTTGAAATTAATTCGCTCCTTAGCATAATAGTCTTGTGAAAAAAATTCTTTGTTAGTTTCTTGTACCCCTTTTCTTTGACAATGTATGCAAATTTTATACAGTTTTATGTAGATTTATGTTAATGTTTCGACAACATTTTTTATTTTTATATTGTTTTTTATCGCAATTTCTTTTTATATTTAATCTCTTTAAAGTTAAAGGCACTACAGCAGAAGCAATGGAAGATCCTGGCTAAACCTTTACTCAAATATCGAAGAAAAATACAATCGCTTACGCTGTGACGAGAATGTATTTTTTTTTTTTTCAGATCTAAAAGTAGTTATCTTCCAGAAATGTATTTCGGTTGGCACAAATAACATACTTGCACACTGTTGTTAATTTTTTGAAACTCACACTTAAAGTTTGCTAGTTTATTGATTTTGTAGAAAAGATCCTTTTGAACACATGGTCCAATGTGGCCTTCGACTGTTCAGACTCGATCAATTTATAGAAATGAATGGCTTTACTCAGCTAAAAAAAAACACCTTAAGAGAATAGGGGCAAAAAAGGAATGGAGAGAAGAGCGTTGATCTAATGGTGTGTCTGGGCGTGAATTTGTAACCAGAGAAGAAATAGATTGTTTGTGGTAGCATGTTACATAGAGGTGATTTGGGATAGAAGCAAATGTATAGAGGTCCATCTGGTACTCCAATAAATTACAAAGCGAATGTTTTTGAGTATTGTTGTGAGAAAAACAACTTACGAATTTCTGAAAGGCAAAGAGCTTGGTCAAGGACACTTTTGCGTTCTCTAAAGCCACCTTGGGCAGTGTCTAAGGACGATACTTGGCCTTGGAGAAGTGCTTTGATGCATTTTTCGATTGTCTTTTCCGGAGATAGTAGTCAGACTAATTAGTCAGTAGCTGACTGGGTCAGTCGAGTTGCCCTTCTCATGAATTGGGACTATTTGTACGGCTCGTCAATAATGAGGCGTGTATGGTCAACACCAGCACAGATCAAAAATACGAAAAATTAAGGGACCACTATAATTTTCGATATGTCTACAGGAAGCAGAGGTAGAGCTATAAAAGATCGCGGCAATAGCCGTAGATGTCAGAAACTTCTCATGAATGCAAGAAAATACATATGTATTTTCAAACTCCGTTAACATTCATACCGACTTACAAGTATGCCACTTATGTACTTAAAAAAACAAAAACCACTATAAAACAAAACAAGAATATTTTTTGTAATGACAAAAAATAAAAAAGCAGAAGATTTCATATTTTCTGCTTAAAATTAGAAAAAAAGCCAACTTTTCAATTTTTCTGCCTTAAATAAATAAACGAGTCTACCGGATGATGGATTTACTGTTTTAGTTTAAAAGAAGAGATCAATGATCGGTAGACTTGTTTTTTATTTTAAAGCAGAAAAATTGAAAAACAAGCTTTTTTCAAAATTTCAAGCAGAAAATATGAAATCTTTTACTTTTTTATTTTTTTGTCATTGCAGAAAATATTTTTGATTTATTTTACAATAGTGGTTTTAATTCTAAAATAGCGGTTCTTATTGCTTTTCAAAAAATATTTTTTTGAGTACGCAAATGGCATACTTGTAATTTCGGCATAAATGTCAATATTTTTATGATTTCTGAAAATGCCTTTTTTTTTTTTTTTTTTTTTTTTTTTTTTTTTTTATATATATATAGGTAAGTCCATCACACTGACCACGAAGGCCTGAGATATACAAGTTCTTTTATAATTTTCTCCATCGCTCTAGTTACTTTTTTGTAGAGTTGTCATTACAGCGTAAGCGACGGAAAGATCTCCCATTGCATGCAGAAATCTTCCATGGAAGAAAAATGCAATCACTGATGCTGTGATGTATGGTGGCTATGGTTGCTATTGGTACTACGGTTGCTATGGCTGTCGTAATCATTCTGCTGCAACAGGAAACTTGGTCAAAAATTGATGGTTAAAAGTATTCAAGACAGAGCTCAAATTGTTGGAATTGTCGTTTGGGAAGTAAAGACGCCATAGTGGCCAAAAATTCTCTGAAATTGTGATATCAGAAAATATTATATTAAATGAAGTAAATATTTTAATAGCATTATACAGAGTCTATAAATTTAGAAATATTATCTGATATCATAAAAGTTATATAAATCCATAGATTGGGTTTTATGAATTCATATAATGGTTATAATATCAGAAACATGTATATTATCTCAGATAAAATATGTTATTTTATAAATAGCTATCTAAAAGCATATATCATCTATAATATTAGAAAACTTGTGTAAATTTAAATAAGCTATATCTGTTTTTAATATAATATTATATGGCATCGCATAAATCATTTCTTGTATTATAAAACTATATCTGTGGGGTAGAAGTTACTATTTTATATAAGATAGTTCTTGGCCACTGTGCTACTTGACACATATCAGTTTAATATAATTCGTTATAGATTGCATCCGCCTCTTGAGTGCCTTTCAATAAAAGATCTTCAAAAAAATACTATTTCTTGATAATCTTTTTTGATTCTGATAATAATTTTTTGATTTTGACAATAATTTTGTATAAGCTTATTACGTTCATGAAATTCCTGATATTCACAGGAAAAAAGAACGTTGGGGTTGAAACACAGAACCATCTTTCTACAGGAAATCTATCATTAGTTATGCTCTTGTGATAATTAAAGTAATCACTTATACAAAAAAAACATCGTTAGATATGCTCAAAGTTGCTCTCCTTAGTCTCAGAAGGGCTATGTATTATACTAAGTATTACTCGTGCGTAATTTGCGCATCTGATGGTCTATAGATGATCACCCGCTTACTAAGCAATATTCATTGAAATGGGCCTCTTTTGTACTGATTATAGTGTACAATGAGCTCTAAATGCAGATTTGAAGGCAATGCTCAAATAAACTCGCCACTTTTATCTTAGTGGACTCGTTTTTTTTTTTTTTTTTTTTTTTTTTTTTTTTTTTTTTGCAAGAAGTACCTAGACATAGCTTCACCTCATTTCGGTTGGATCAGACCTACATTGGGTTATTCCAAAAAATTTCTCGATAAACTTTTTTTTCATCCACGATCTCTCGTGATCCTCCATGGGTCAAAAAAATAAATTTCAACCAAGTGCCAAACCAATGGTACTATTCGATTCCTTGGCTCAAGAAAGCATGTTTTAAATGAAAAAGCAAATCATTCTGATAACCTAGTTGTCGAGAAATGGTGTATCGAAGATTAGCTTCTTTAAGCAGTGCTTTATGCATTTTTGCTCTGGTTGTCGTAAAAAATGTGCTAGCAATTGGTCTTTCAAAAGTATTTCATGTTATTTTGGTTGCCAAAGAACATGAGAAAATAGAAACACAAGCATCTAATATTGTAAGTGTGGGAGTGAATAGACATAGGACATACAAGATGGCAGCGTGCGAAGATTGAAATAGGGAAACCCCAATCCTTCATCCCGCCGCTTTCTCAAATCGAGCTTTTGCTGGGAACTGCATAAAGATGCAGTTGTATGGCTTTGATACAGTAACAAAAGTTGTAGATCTTTGCTTTCTGAGCTGATTGATGTATAGAACGTAACAACTCTGCTGCTAACATGTTGAGTAAATAGGCAAAAACAATTTCGAGGTTTTTTCATTCATATCTCCTCATTTTT